AATCCAGTCTTCAGTGTCACATGATCCTTCAGAAATCACTCTAATATGCTGATGCGCAATATTTTTTTTTCAGGATTATTTGATGAATAGAAAGTTCAAAAGAACAGCACTTATTTGATTTTATATTTATTTATTTATTTATTTATTTTTTGTATCATATAAATGTCTTCTGATCACTTTTGGTCACATCGTTGCTGAATAAAAGTATTAATTTCTTTTAAAAAGTACTACTGATCCCAAACATTACGTATGTTATTGTATGTGTATGTATACATTATTTATTTCTAAATATTCATGTCTTCTTCTCTGCAACGCATGCATGTTCAACAGTAGTTTTTGTATTTTACCTGTTCAGGGAGTTTTTCTGCATCACTGTTGCATTTTAGAAATATATTTATTATAAACATTTATACAAATAATTTTGAATTGAAAATGTTTCTCTTGACACCCTGATACACCACTGCAGCATTTTTTGCATATTTTTAGATGTATGTCTCTCCTATACTCTAGTATTCTGTAGAAAATATATCGCCTACTATTAATCTAACTATTAAGTAAACATTTTCCATATAACTTGTGAATAATTTGTTTGAATAATGTGCATTGATGAATTATGCACAAACTGTATTAAAGTAAGTATGATTTCAATTTTGAGTCAATTTTGATTTCATGCTGATATTGATAATATATCAGAGGCTTTGATTATTTCTGTGGCATTTTTCTTAATACACAGCCAATTAAATCAAATGTCATTTTGTTGTAGGAAAACAGTTCAGGTGTACTGAGTGTGACTTCACTGCTGCACTGAGACCGCATCTCCTTCGTCACATGGAGCAACATGCCTCTTTCAAAGTAACACCATAAAAACATATTTTTGTTTTATGTTGTCATGTGTCCTACAGCCACCACCAAAGCACAATGTTTTGCCTTTCACAGCCTTTCCGTTGTGCGCACTGCCACTACTCATGCAACATTTCAGGTTCCCTGAAAAGACACTATAATAAGAAACATCCCAACGTTCAGTACATCAATGCTGGAACAGGGGCGTCCACTTCCGAAACTGTGACAGAACAAGGCAAGTCATTCCTCACCAGAATGAAACCAGCCTTAACCGTACAATATACGTTGTTGCTTTTTGTTAGACATGCAGTGTTGCCTCAAACTGCATCAGTAATTGAGAAGTGTGTGTGCGTGTGTTATCAGGTGGAGTCAAATGTCCTGTGTGCAATTATGTTTATGGCACTAAATGGGAAATGAACAGACACCTAAAGAGCAAACATGGTCTCAAAGTGGTGGAGATTGGCAGTCTGGGTCTGAATCAGTGGGAGGTGAGTCTCCATTATAATTACATGTTACATTTAGTAAAGACAAGTCATATTTATTTATATAATGCTTAAACAACAATAGAATTTGACCCAAAGTGCTGTACAATAACATTTAGTGATAAATAATATATTAATAGTAAACCTATAATTAACCCAAACATAAATTATCTGTCATCATTTACTCACCCTCATGTCACTACAAACCCATAAGTCTTTGGTTAAATGAAGATATTTTTTATAAAATCTGAGAGGGTTTCTGTCTCTCCATTGATAGTCCAGTTAATGAAAACTCCAAAGATCCAAAAAGGTCATAGATTAAATTAAATTAAATCTGTTCGTCATATAAAATGATTGTATCTCTTGGATTAAATAGTTTGATTTATATAGATTCATTTTATGATGGCTTTATGACTTTTTTGGTTTCCCTGGACGTTAAATGAAGGGACAGAAACTCCGGTTTCATTAAAAATATCTTAATTTGTGTTTCAAAGATGAACTAAAGTCTTATGGGTGTGGAACAACATGAGGATGAGTAATTAACTGATAGAATTTTCATTTTTTGTGAATAATAATTTATAATAATCATTAATAAAATACTTTAGAGTTTAGCAAAAAAAGGCTTATTACTCCAGCCTTTTCTTTTCTTGGACTTGGTGCATAATATATTTTCTTTCTGATAAAGCAGTGCATGATTGTTAAATTGCCTTAATCGATGACATATTGTCAGCTACTACACTTGCTTATGATCTTATTGGTGTGTTCATTCAGGTAGTGGAGTCAGTGGAGGAGCCGGCCATGCAGTACCTTCACATAGCTGAGACTGAGGATGCGCAAGGAACAGAGACTGCTGTATCAGCTCTGCAGGACCTGCGCTTCAACACACAAAATGGTCAGAAACAGTTGCTTCATTTCTTGAACAGTTGTGGCATTTCTGTAAAGTTCATATCTAAACTCATCGTGGTCATTGTGTTCAGGTGTTGTGTCTGCCGCAGTGGGAGACAGACTAGACCCGGCGTCTGTCAACATCCTGCAGCAGATCATTGAACTGAGCTCAGAGAATCATGATGCCGCTGTGGCTTCTGTGGTTGCCATGGCTCCTGGTACAGTTACTGTTGTAGAGCAGGTACGGTTTAAATGCATATTAGTGTACCTCTCTGCTTCTGGAGAGCTGCCCATACTTATCTACTGCAATTTTATTGAGTTCACAATATATAATCTACACTCTCTGCTATATGATTATTGCTTATGAATTGTTAGGTTTATTGTCTTGCTGTGTTTGGTATCACTTTTATGGACACTTAAGTAACTCCCTATAATCAAATGATAGTCATGTGTTATTCAATATTAATAGTGTCTATATATGAATTTAAAAGGGTCATAACATATACAAGAAAGGTTTAAAAAAAGTTTTTATTTTTTTATGAAATTATTCTGCAAGAATGTTGACCAAAATTGACACTAAAGACATTTATTATATAACAAAACATTTCTATTTCAATTAAATGCTGTTCTTTTGAACTTTCTATTCATCAAAGTATCCTGGGAAAAAAATAATGGTTTTGTTATAAATATTAAACAACTGTTTCCAACATTGATAATACTAAGAAATGTTTCTTGAGCACCAAATCAGCATACTAAAATGATTTCTGAAGAATCATGTGACACTGAAGACTGGAGTAATGGCTGATGAAAATTCAGATTTATTGTCACAGGAATAAATTACATTTAAAAATATATTCCGATTTTGAACATTAGTGTAAATTTTTTCCCGTAAGGTTTACTTACAATATTAACCCAAAATTTTACCGAAACATTCATTATTTGATTTTCTCTTATCTTATATATATATATATATATATGTGTGTGTGTGTGTGTGTGTGTGTGTATAT